CTCACTACCAATGAATATCCCAGTCTAAGGGAATTTGTGAGAGGCGAGATGGAGGAATGGCACAGACGAGCTCGGTACCGAGCTTGATGGGACACTTTCGGATCATGTGTGGCGGGGAAATTTGTGTGAGGGGAAGGCGGTCGTCTAACCTGGGCTCGAAGAATTGACCTCGGACGTTTGCAATGATATTGATGCCCCAGCCTAATGACGTTTGGAATACAAATCTTCCTCTTCGGGGCACTTCAACTTTATCCTATTCACGGGGCAATTGTGGTACAGAACCAAGGCTCGATCGACACCGAGATCCTTAAGCGACCTACCCGCATACTGTCGTAAGTACCGTTCATTTCTTCCATTTTTTGTGTTCACCAAAGTATCGTCGTTAGACAGGAAATGTTGCTTTCCTAAGTTCGTGGTCGTGTCACGGTCAACGTCAGCCCACCATTCACTGTTTCCGTTCTCACTCAGACTAGTAGATCCTCGTTTGCCACCAATCACCGATTTGTAAATTCCATCAAGTAACGAATTACAAGGATCTATGTATGGAACGGGGATCACGCAGCTGGAGAGTCAACTCTTCCTATAAATACTAGGCAAGATTCCAGCAAAATTCAGTGGTATCCATTCGATCCTCGACAATGCGATTCATCACTTTCTTTGTCGTCCTCTCCATTACCTCAGCTCTTGCTGCTCCATTCAAGCGCGATATAGGCACTTTCAAGGCCGATATTGCTGACATTGACGCCAAGCTCAGTGATATTGACGACCACGTCACCGACAGAATTAACAGTGTTGATCAAAGTCGTGATTTGAATTTGGTCCTCCTTCAAGTCTTGGTGAGTTTTCGTTGCATTAGCGACGTCCGAGTCCCCTACGTTCTCTAAAGCCTTTAGCAAGTATTTCGACACGTACGTAACTGCCTTCGAAGACGCCGTAAAGAAGGCCACTGCGGACACCCAGACTATCGCTGTGTTCAGTGAAGATGACGGCAAACTCATGCTTAAATCTTTTCGCGAGATTCGGAACCTCTTAAGCCACACTCTGTCGCAACTGGCGTTCAAAGCAGTGAGCGTCAAGAGTAAGCATGATCGACCATGTGTTCTCTAATGAATCAAAGAGCTCACCAAATTATCTCGACCCCTTTCTCCCAGACCTCGAAAAAGTCAAGATCATCGGGAAAGAAGGCCGGATTCGCCAGGACATCGTGAATCTCGGCACCGTTTTCTCTGCCTTTACTGATGCCCTCGTTGCCAAGTTCCCTGTGAGTAGGAATGGTGAAGCTCTAGAACATGCGACTCATGACTTTCAATTCAGTCTAACCTTGCCGGCCAGGCCACCCCGATCAAGGAAAACATAGAGACTGAGTTCGCCAGAGCTATCGATGCATACTCTCAGCCTTGAACCCGCCTATTGGGGAAATGGTGTACCCGTTGCTGTTAAGAGTGTGTAATATGGTCTTGACTCCCAACACATATGGAGTGCTCCCCATTGTGCCGTTGCAATCTATCACTTGACACTCTGGTACTTAGTAGACGGCATGCAAATTCATTTCAATTTTCTGTCTTCCTTCATGATGGCTGCATAAACGGTACTACCATTTATCGGAGACTCGGTTCGCCAGGGCCATCACTGCATACTCTCAGCCTTGAACCCCCCTGTAGGGGAACGATGTACCCGTTGCTGTCAGAGCGACCTTGTATGTGCATCTCACTCGATTTTTAAGTTTGGATGGGTGGGGTCTGTGTATGTAGAAGTACATACAGATTTGGAAGAATGTGGCATACCTGAACTTGTGGGTGTTTGTTTGAGCAAAATTCCAACTCGGGGCCGAGTGCTTGGCGCCCGCTCTTGGACTTGGACTTCCACGGCCGGTTTTTCCCCTTAATTTTTCGAGCCCACGTTCGCTCCTCTCAGCTCAAACTCGACTGGAACAGAATGCGGAGTGGCTGACTACGGAATATGGGCTGCTCAGTGACGAGGATTTACACGTACGGTTCACCTCCTATCAGCAAAGCTTGCGTTGACTGGCTGATTTTTTGCTTCATTGTCCCTGGGGTTTGGGGAATATTGGGTGTAAGGCACGTCGGTCAGCTCCTATCCTCTATTCGTGACCTCACCGGACAACTTGCCCCTCCAATCCATCGGAACTCCTGACCTCGTCCAAAAATTCTTTCTCACAACTCCAGAGCGGCTCCTCTAATCAAAACTGAACCGTACACATATGAAGCAGAACTCCAACCTTGCGATCCGACAGCTGTCGTTCTGACGGTTATTGTCTACTTCGGATGTGAGGGTAGCAATGCTCCACCGGCATTGCGTCGTCACCATATCTTGAACTTTCCGACGTCCAGACATTCGCACGTTTACGTCGATTACCAACCACTGGCATGTTCTCGGCGCCTGATATGCGCATCAACCGTCCTCCAACTCTTGACATGGCCTTGAACCTCGGACCTTAGAGCAACTGGCTCATGAGCCACTGTCCTCAAAGACCTAGTCGCAGACCACACCCCGACTTGGTCGTTGAGAGGCAGGATCCGAAACCGTAACCGGTTCCTTGTGCTGCATGGGCGGTGATGCCGAGCGTCACAGTAATTTAGTGGATTCTCCGGTGAACCTCTGAGTTTCCGTCATTTCTCACTGTATCCAACTACGTTCCTGTTATCACTCAGAGACTATTCGAACACTATCGATCGACCTCATGAAGAAACCCGCATGCTGCATTCTCTCGGCTCCTACATGGAACATTCGACATTTGATACGATCTTGTCCTGGGATCAAACTCAGAAGCTTGACAGCTGACTATGTGAACAGGAAAATAACTCGGCCTCGCCGCACGCTTGCAAGGAGATCGACGTCCAGCATGCTTCAATCGAGTTTCGATAGACATACAGAAAGCACTTAGATCCTCTTTGGTCTACTTTTCTTTGCCCTATTCGCGGGTGTACAATTTCCCAACCGCCACCGGACTCCGAGAATGCCCCAACTGCATACTGTTCTGATACAGGTTTGAATGTAGCACCAATGTTTATTCGTAGTTTTGTTTGATGGATATGACTGCTCTCATGGACCGGAAAATCATAGTTCGGGCCATAGCAGTGGCGCCTTCTCGTCGAATCATCCGCCCATTCCAGTCGTCAAAGCATTCGTAGCGAGCTCATCGGATCTTTTTTATTTTCGGGTTCACTAGTGTATCTTCGTCAAATAATATCTAGCCTGGTTTGGTATGTTTGTGGGTCTCCGTCGACCCACCGGATATGATTCGCATTTTGGCAACTACATCCTTACTAGCTGGGAATGCCATCTGACTACTGATGCGTGCATCCGATTCACAAGAAGCGAATTAAGAGTGGGGCCTACGGGCGGGAGATTGCGCAGAGGAATCCTTTTTTTTGTATACTTACGGGGCAGAACACCAGCGCATTCCAGCATCATCAACAATGCGTTTCAACACTTTCTTTGTCCTCCTCTCTGCTGCCTCGGCTCTTGCTCTTGTAACTCCATTCAAGCGCGATGTTCCTGCCGTTAAAGCCGATCTTGATGATCTCTATCACCAGTTCGGCATTTTGTATTCCAATGCCAACTCCGGGCCGCCTACCAAAGCAGTCGCAGTGAGTTTTGTTGGACTGGTGCCATCTGATCGCCCGTGTTTTCTAATACGCTTCTCACCAGGAAATCATTCAGAGATCCAACCTCATCGTCCAACGCTTGGAAAAAGCTACCACCGACACCCGGGCTATCGCTATATATATAATCGGTGCAGAGCCCAGGATTAGGGGTGAGTACGGCTAACCGTGTATCCCCAAGTAGTAATGCTTCCTCAAGGCTCACACTTATCTCTCTCTCCTACCCAGATAAAGCCCATGCTGAGGCAGTTATTGTCCGGTACCTCGATAAGCTCAAACCTGCCACCTCCAAGTTCTCAGATGCTCTCGTTACCAAGTCTCCTGTGAGTTAATCATGAGACTTCTCTAACATCAGGTGAGATCATACGACTCACGACTTTTCCCCTTGTCATACAGTCCGACCTCAAAGATAAGTTCACTGGGGTCAAGAAGGACATCATAGATACATTAGACAAGGCCATCGCTGTGTACTCGTCGCCAAACGCGACTACTAGTTTCGCTTAAGGTACCCCATTGCCTCGGGGAGGAGCTTACTTAGGTATAACTCGGTTTGCCTTTCGGTTTTCAGATTATGGATAAGTAGAGTGTGCTCTACATACAACAGCAGTCCCAAGATGGCGTGCGACGCGACATCGAAAGGATGAATGGTCCACCAAAAAAAAAAAAGGTACCCGTAGCAAGTATGTAATTGACTTACTCACTACGGTAGTCAATTGTTCAATCTGTACATTATATGGTTTCAACTTTCTCAGAGCATATACAAAGCGTCTCCGCCTACTGTGCCATCCGGGGAATTATCATTCGGCGGTACTCTGAGGCGTAGTGTATGCCGCATGCGCTGAGGGTCGAGCCCGTTTCTCCTTCCCAAAAAATACTGTGTGGCGTTGCGTTTCCAATCCTAAATTTGGCATTCGGCAGCAGGGGTTCTGAAGATTGGACACCTATGGACCCACGGTGATATTGTATGACGCGCTATGTATTTTGATTGTAGTCCTGAACTTGTCATAAACGTGTAGTCCGTGTTGAAACCCGTGCTCTTGGCTCCCTCGCGGTTATGGATTTCCGATTTGTCTCCTTCCTCTTTCCTTCAGTTACTGAGCTTTGCTGGTGAGTCGGCCGAGAGCCAATGGATCGTGCGCGTTCACGCGCACCAAGCACATGAGAAGGAATCAGGGGCACAAAAAATAGATCATTAGATGGGGCCGACCTCTTTATTTTTTCAGTTGGCGCCCGATCCAACTGCCCTTTTTTCGACCCTTTTCGAGGAGCAAACACTTTTCCACCCCGAGGGGCCACGTTCGAAATGGGTGCTCTTGTCGTGAAGGTGAGGAGGGAGATTTGCCGACTAAAAGAAATTTCCTGCACAACAATCCATACACCGTTCGTGAATCGAACCCGAGCCGCTTGCTCACAGCTCGCTACGTCTTGATGGAAGGCAAGCATGATAACCACTTCACCAACGATCTTCTATAACTGTGTATTAAATCATCAATGAGAGCTAGCCGTTGTGGGTGCTTGCGTGAGTAAACTTCCGAATCCGACTTGAGGTCGAATGCCAAGCTTGCACTTCGACCACGACTCCCACTACCAATTTCCTTTCAACTTCAAAGGCCGCTTTCATTGTCTCACCTTGCATTCTCTTTACAAAGACATCAGGCGGATGCTATACAATCTATATGGATCGGCTCGTGGCTTTGATAAGGTTTTGTCATAAAGGCCATGCTTTCCTAACACCATCCATCGGCTAAAGGGTGCGTGGCCCATTCCTCATTCCTTCTACCACTCGCCACGACCGACAATCCTCGAAACCGGCCGTTCGTTGATAATCGCAAAAGTCCAACCAACGAAATGGAAGGATCTGCTAGTGGAAGGACGGATGTCAACGACATTGGCATCTCACGTTCAGCGGCACCTCGAAACCTGAAAGACTTACCTCTACCTACTGAACCTCCTTACACCGCATTCGTTGGCAACCTTTCATTTGACTTCACCGAAGCCGAACTCGAAGACTTCTTTACTTCACTCAAAGTGCGTTTCTGGGTCTATCAGTGGCACAGGTACATCCAGCTAATCTCTCTTTTCAGCCTCCAAAATCAGTCAAAATCGTCCGCGACAGGGAACAGAAATCAAAAGGGTTCGGATTCGTCGAGTTTGAGGACCTCGAAGAATTGGAAGATGCCCTTTCATTGACGGGATCGGTGAGTCGCTGTCTATCTTCAGTTTTCACGCACTATAAGATTCTGAACATTACGTGACTAGTCAATCTCTGGACGAAGGATCGGAGTCCGCATTGCTGAAGCTCGTCAGTCACCTTCTTTCCGCGTTACGGTGAAGGTCTATATTGACGTTCCGATCTGATACCAGCGAAACAACGACCAGGCGCCGGCAATTCGAACAGGGGTAGCCTTGGTGGCACATGGGAGAAGCGGAACCAAATCGTTGCCGGAATCACCGAGGCGGATGCTGGAGAGTACGAGAATACGAACACGAACCAAAAGAAGAAAAGGACGAGGACGAAGAGAGGTTCGAATACAAAGCCACGAGTGCAAACGCAAGCACCGCCACTTCCAGAACCCATCCCTCTGGCCATCACCAAGAATCGTTGGGATCGCAGCATCTTCGCCACCATCCCCCCAGACTCCCCCGAATTCGTCAGTAGGAAAGTCAGATCCCTGCTCAACAAACTCACCACGACGAATTTCGACTCTATCTCTGACCAAATCACCGACTGGACGAACAAAGGCCCTACGACCCTCCCCAGAGTCGCCGAGTTGATATTCGAGCACGCTACGTTCCATGATGTCCGTTTCACCGAAACCTACGTTAGGCTGTGTCACAAGACAATGGAGCATATCAGCCCTATAGTTCAAGATCCCGAGATCAAGGATAATCGAGGACACGCCATCGCCGGTGGCCAGCTTTTCAGAACTTATCTCCTCCACCAGTGCAAGGACGAATTCGCACGGATTTGGGGGCTCGACGAGCACTCTGCTGTTGACGAGAAGACTAGGGAACGTGGGCTGGGGTTGATCAGGTTCGAATGTGAACTGTTCAAGTTGCAGATGATAACAGAGAGGATTATGCACGAATGTGCTAAGAGCGTCTTGGGTAATGGGAATGAGGAACGACGGGTTGAAGGGTTATGTCTTCTTCTCATCAGGGTTGGTCGGATTCTGGATAGCCCGACGGGTCAAGGTCATATGCAGGAATACCTCGCGAGGCTGGAGGAGCTGTTCAAAAGTCCGGCTGTTTCCTTGCGGATTAGGTTCATGGTGCAGGTATGTTGGTGTTTTCGTTCTCGAAACAGCTTGTACACGTACTGACTTTGTTTACTCTCAATTTCAGGACGTCATCGAGCTCCGGGAGCGTCAGTGGGTCCCTAGAAACGTTGCGTCACCTCGTCGAGAGCCCAGTGTCGTGCCAGAGCCGAATGTCCCCACCAAGAAAGGGAAGGGCAAGGGCACGTCGAGCAAGACCAAACACAAGGCTTCGAGTTCTACACAACGACAACAACGATCCGCCACCTCCGAACTCCCAGAACCTCTCCCCCTAACCATCTCCCCCAACCGTTGGGTCCGCATCTCCCTCCGGCCTACTATCGCCCCAGACTCCCCCGAGTTCACCACTTTGAAAGTCAGGTCTCTACTCAACAAACTCACCACTACGAATTTCGACTCCATCTCTGACCAAGTCATCGTTTGGGCGGAGAAGGCGCTCGCCCGAATGGTCGAGTTGATCTTTGAGAATGCTACGTTTCATGATGCTCGGTTTACCGAAGTGTATGCTAGGTTGTGTCACAAGGCGATGGAACGGCTTCGAGAAGGACCTGGGGAACAGCTTTTCGAAGCCTACCTCCTCGGAAGGTGTAGGGACGAATTCGCAGGGATCTGGGGTCGGGAGGATGTTGGTGTTGATGAGAAGACGAGGGAGCGCGGGTTGGGGTTGATCAGGTTCGAATGTGAACTGTTCAAACTGCAGACAGTGATAACGGAGGAGTTGATGCACGAATGGGTGGAGAACTTGATCGTGGGTGATGGTATTGGTAGTGAGGAGGAGGAGCGACGCATTGAAGCGCTATGTGTTCTTCTCACCAGTGTTGGTCGGATTCTGGGTCATGTGGACGGCTACTTTGCGAAACTGGAGGAAGTGTTCAATAGTCCGGTTACTTGCTCGCGGATTAGGTTTATGGTGCAGGTACGTTGGTGATCTTCGTTGCCGTGCATGTACACGTACTGAGTCGGGATTCCCAGGATGTCATCGAGCTCAGGGAACGTCGATGGGTCGCTAGAATCCCTCCTTCGACTCTTCCGAGGGAGAGTACCGTAGGCACTTACTCCAGAAAAGGGAAGGGCAAGGCAGCGTCAACGAAGCCCGAGCCCAAACCTCAGCCTCGGAAGAGGCAGCCGGATACTACATCCACACCAGTGGATGATCGACACCATCTTCGTGGCTCGAGCTCTACTCCGGTGGATGTGAGCGATCCCCAGGCCCACCTCGTCTACACCAAGGCTCGTGCTATCAAGGACTTCATTCGCGTATCATACCCCGAGGGTATCAAACGTCCTGATCCAACGTTCAAGGCTGGAAATTCGATGGGTGTGTTTCGGTGTGTACCACTGTATTAGTCTCGAATCATCGGGCTAATTGTGAGGTGTTCGCCAGATACGACCGTGACTTTCTCCTCCAGTTCAAGTCGGCGTGCACAGTACGAGCGAACATTGTGATTCAGTTGGATGAGTTGACCGCTTTGGGACTTAACCCAGCCGAGCCGCATCCTCGCCCTACCGCCCGTGTAGGTCGTAAGTGAGGTGGCTCATCTGTGGTTGATGTGGTGGTCCGAGTCGATCTATTTTTTTTGTTACTTACCTTAGACCTACGAATCAAGAGTTTTGGCATAACTGGGTTGATCATTTTTGAAAAGTTGCTTCTTCCACTGCGAGATGACCATTGGCAGCTCAATTCGCCAGGGCCCGCATTGCGTACCTCCACGGATGGAGTTCATTGATCCCGTGTCGTCCGATGGATCGCTCATTCTTTTGTCGCCAAACTCGGGGAGTAGTTCTCGGGGCTGAGGTTGGAGCTTCGACGTGATAAATGAAACCTCCGCATAAATCTCGATACTTACATTCTCTGCCCTTGTCCCACAGTTGCACCACAACCATACCTCATATGCCGCCGAGGAACGAAGATGGAGGTGTCACGGGGGGAATTCGGGTGCAACGCTCAACTCGTCACATCGTCAGTAGGTGGGTAGCTTTTTTCGGGAAATCATGGCGGCCCGTGTACCGATGATCTGTTGACCTCCCACTCCCTAGCCTTCTGCAGACGATCAGAGAACAACGAAGCTGTCTAACGGAAGAATTTTCTACGCGTCATCTGCCACCCTTGAACATGTACTTATAATCATCGCAAGGTCGAGTCAAAGTCAATGGTCATGGCGTCTCGAAACCTATCACGCTTCATCATCCTTGGTGCTGTCGTTCACGCCTGCAACGGCGTGTTCCCAGACTGTGTCAATGGTCCTCTATCCAAAAACCTCATATGCGATCCGACTGCTCGCTCCATCGATCGTGCCAGGGCGCTCGTCAATGAGCTCACGCCCTCAGAGATGATCCAAAACTCTGTAAACGAGTCACCGGGTGTACCACGTCTCGGTCTTCCACCATATAATTGGTGGAACGAAGCGCTTGTACATGCACAATTCACAATTCTCCTCGCATTGCTAAGTACTTACCTACCTCCCAGCATGGCGTAACCCCAAACCACGGCGTAATCTTCGCTCCCCCAGGCGAACCTTTCAGCTTCGCAACCTCCTTCCCAGGTCCCGTAACCCTCGGAGCCACTTTCGACGACACCCTCATCCACTCCATCGCAACAGTCATCAGCACCGAAGCTCGCGCATTCAGCAACGCCAACCGTTCCGGTCTCGATTTCTTCACACCCAACATCAACCCATTCAAAGACCCCCGCTGGGGTCGTGGCCAAGAAACCCCCGGCGAAGACCCGTTCCACATCTCTCGATACGTATTCGAGTACGTTACTGCCCTCCAGGGGGGTATCAACCCGAAACCGTATTACAAAACCGTGGCGGATTGTAAACATTGGGCTGGGTACGATTTGGAGAACGCGGGGAATATAACGAGGCATACGTTTGATGCGAAGATTACGCAGCAAGATCTGGCGGAGTATTATTCTCCGCCGTTTCAGAGTTGTTTGAGGGATGCAAAGGTTGGGTCGATTATGTGCAGTTATAACTCGGTGAATGGGGTTCCGTCGTGTGCCAGTACCTTTCTGCTGAAAGATCTCGCGAGGGAATTATTCGAATTCGGGGACGAGGAGGAGGGGGGATGGGTTACGGGGGATTGTGGTGCCGTGGAGAGAATATTTTTGACGCATAACTATACGGAGACGGTTGTGAATGCGACGGCGGTTGCGTTGAGGGCGGGCACAGATGTTGATTGTGGGG